CTTGAGCTACCACCACCCATGCTGTACCTACTGAAAGGGCAAACAGAATTTGTCACCTTCAGATAAGATATTGAGGCCAGCAAGGAAGTCCACATTTCTGCTGCATACCTACAGAGTTGGATTTTACATCTAGATGAGGTGACTTGGGAAGTGTTAACAAGATCTATCTTTCCCCCCAAAAATGTGTAGTACAATGATTGATTTTTCTGTAGGAGACTGTGTGGGAAGATTTCAGTGCTGGAAAAGCAAACAGTTACCGGTAGGTGCAGCAGATAAAGTCTACAGTGCATCAAAGGGAGCAAGCTGCTACACAGTACCAGAACAGGAAAAAGGTAGATTACTCATATTCTTGCCCCCAGCCTCTTTGATCCATCCCTATACATGCTTTCCCCACTTGGAGAAGGCATGCAATGGTCACTGCTGTTGACGCAAACATAGTCAAGGGAATTAGAACTATGGGGCTCACTTAAATTTACATGCCCTGCAAAGGGACTCTGTCCCATCCAATGGGGGTGAGCAAGATTAGAAAGCAATGATCAGTCAGCCTTGCATCTATAACATGAGCATAATAATGCTCTTTCAGTTGTCAAAAGTATTATTACATTAACAAATGTGAAGCACTTCCAACATCCAAAAAGCACTATATACACATGCTAACATTGCAATTGTTTGCATGTCTACTCAACAATAAACCCCACTGAGTTCTGCAGATTTCCGATTCCGAACACTAAGTTTAACAGTAAGTATATATAGATATATAGGTATTCCCGAGGCTGTGTGTCATTTCTGGAAATATATGCAATTGCTGCAAAAAAGAGAGATAGAAAACAGGAGGGGTAAAAAGGGGAGTTGGTAAGGAGAAGCCATATCATCCCAGAGGGAGGGAAAATGGATGCAAGGCATCTGTGGCCAACACTCATGCATCCTCTTCCCTTTCTGGATTATCTTCGAATCTGGAAAAAACAAACTTGCAGATAAAAAACCAGCGAGATTTGAGCTAAGAGTATATGGAATATGCTACAGAAATGAGGACACAAAGAAGATTCTAATCCACACTAAACATGGGTGTGGACAAGCCCACTGTGCACACTTGTACATCTATTTATTACGCACCCTTCCCCCTAAGGTCCCAGGGCAGTTTACAGTATTAAAACACTACATAAAGAAAATTACAACAACCATAAAAATAAAAATGACACCAAAGCAGTAAAAAGACCTGGTTGTTTTTTTCCCATTTACACCTAAAGTGCCTGCATTTTAGTAGATGAAACACACATACATAGAATGCTGCACATTCAGGATAAAACTGCTTCCCCACAGAAAGGAGCAAAGGTCTCCATTGGCGGACAAATATTTTCATCCAAAGCAGTGTTAGTGTTGCAGCACTCTGAAGTGTGTCTGGCTAGAACATTCAGGTTAATAAAAGCCATGCAAACTCCTGCTCTTCCAAATTGGCCTCAGTGGAATTCAAGCCAGCATTGTGCCATCAACAAAGGTGCAGCAAGTGCCATTAAGGCTAGGGACTCACCAACACCACTTGTCACTGGTACTGCTGATACCAAAAGGAACTCAACCTGATAAGGAAAATGTATAGAGGCTCCCTATCACCACCTTCCTGGAGATACTAAGAGATGTTCAGTTGATGGGATGTAACACTTTGCCTTTAATAGCCAGCCTGATCCTAATGGAGCCATTGCACAGCTATCTGATGCTCTTCTTAGCACCCTCCACTCATGCCTCTCAAGCAATTATGCTTTTAAAAAAGAGTGTTGGGTTAGATAAGCAATATTACAGTATTTTCCATTCTCAGAGTAAATGGCAGGGTGAAGGCAGCATCCTGGAATAAAAACCAAGAGTCCTGTGACACTTTTAACAAATTTAGTATGGTATAAACTTTACAGTCTTTAAGGTGCCATGGTATTATTCATAGTTTTTGCTGCAAAACAGTAGCATAGCTTGTCCTCTGGATACAGTGGGACAGTTATATAACAAAATCACCATCACACTTTATTCCAGGGATGGGAACCTTGGGCAGATATTTGTAGACTTCAACTCCCATCAGACAACTCCCAGCCAACAAGACCAATAATCAGGGATGGAGGGAGCTGTAGTTGAACAACATCTGGAGGGCCACAAGTTCCTCATGTCTGCTCTACACTCTAAATCAGTCACATGCAATATGAAAACAAGACCACATTTATTTGCTGGAAAGGTGGAGTTGGGCAGACCATGTGAAAAGACATATATTCATTCTTTGAAACAAAACATGGCCTTATATATGGCACTGATTGGCATGGTGCAGAATTAGTTTTTAAATGTTAATTTCTAGAATTCTCAGAATCATAGATATATACAAAGATCTGTGTAGACCTTTCCTCAGATTTCATTTTTTTAAAGTGTTCATATTTGCAGGGCAGGGTAATCAAATACACTTCCTGGGCAAAAAATATCAGGAGGTAGATTTGCTGCGACCCTTTGCTGTTCCAAAAAGTACAGGAAATAGCGATACAAGTTTTATGAAATCCACAGTATTTTCAATTAGTATTTTCCTTAAAAATTAAGAAAAATATTTTACCATGCTTAAGAACTAAAATTTAGTAGGACCACTGGGGGTCCACTGGGGTTTAGCCAACCCTAAGATAGGGACACAGGTGGCACTGTGGTCTAAACCACAGAGCCTAGGGCTTGCCAATCAGAAGGTCAGCGGTTCAAATCCCCACAACGGGGTGAGCTCCCATTCCTCGGTCCCTGCTCCTGTCAATCTAGCAGTTCGAAAGCACGTCAAAGTGCAAGTAGATAAATAGGTACCACTCTGGCAGGAAGGTAAATGGCGTTTCCATGCACTGCTCTGGTTTGCCAGAAGCGGCTTAGTCATGTTGGCCACATGACCCAGAAACTGTACGCTAGCTTCCTCGGCCAGTAAAGTAAGATGAGTGCTGCAACCCCAGAGTTGTCCGCAACTGGACCTAATGGTCAGGGGTCCCTTTACCTTTACCTTTACCTTTAAGGTAGGCTATCATGGCATAGTGGTGAAGTGGTGAGAGGTTGGTGATTGCATGTGCAATTTTAAGGTTGCAAACCTCTATTTGCTTATCCATTGAACTGGGTAGACATGTATAGCAGGGATATCCAATGCTGTGCACTTCATATGTTTCGGACCACAACTTCCACCATCCTCTACCATTGGCCATGTTGGTTAGGGATGATGGGAGCTTTGGCCCCAAACATCTGGAAGGTGCCACATTGGCTACCCCTGATGTATAGGATTGCCCTGAAGGTCATTAATATAAGCAACAGTTGTGACAGTTATTGTATGCTTGTGGGGAAATTCTTCTTGGGATGATTGGTGTGGAGAATACGTCTCAAACTGAGGCCAATATTAAAGCAATATCTGGACTAATATTGCAGTTTAGGAGTTGACTTTAATAAACCTTAGACCTCATTACCTTTGAGGCCGTTAGTCTTCTCTCCCTCCACAATATGCCCTGCTCAGTTAGCAGATGTAGATAATCAGATAAACAGGAATGTACTGTAGCTGTTGTGCCTGTGTCTTTTATTATAAGACAACATAGAGTATGGGAAATACTATTTAAGGAAAAGATTGGCCTGGCAAAAATCCATTGAAGGATGAATATTCATTACCCCAAGACAAAGTGCTGGCAAGCAAATATGACCATTGACTTCTAGATTTTCTTGCTCACATGGCCAAAGGTTTTTGGTAGGTTGAGTTGGCCATTAAAAAAAATCTCAGTCTTTTATTTAAGAATGGGGGAAAGCATCTTAATGCCTCTCATTTTAAAGTTAAAGCCCCACAGCCAAATTTGCTTCGCTCTGATGACAGGGCAGTGTGGAGGAGTCATTATTGTTCAGTGAGCACCCTTTCTTGTGATGTACACAGGCAAGACTAAGAATAGAAATGGAGTCACAAAGAACTTAAGTGAGTCAGTGAAGGAAACTCTCTCCTATCCATGTATGGTACCATGGCCAGAGTTCCATGTGGTAGCTTCTCCGCTCTCTTATGAGAATAAGGATAGCTAAAACTTCTCAGCCCTCTGAACATGGATGCATATGGAAGCAATGATAAGTATGGTTTAGCCTATAAACCTACTTTCCCTTGCTGTCACACACTCCTTCATTCTCTCTACTCCCCTAGTAATAATAATATTTATATCCCACCCATCTGGCTGGGTTTCCCCAGCCCCTCTGGGCAGCTTACAGCATATATAAAAACAAAGTAAAACATCAAGCATTAAAAACTTCCTGATACAGTGCTGTCTTCAAGTGTCTTCTAAAAGTTGTGTAGTTCTTTATCTCCTTGACATCTGAAGAGAGGGTGTTCCACAGGGAGGGCGCCACTACCAAGAAGGCCCTCCACCTGGTTCCCTGTAACTTCACTTTTCACAGTAAGGGAATCAGCAGAAGACCCTCAGAGGAGTACCTCAGTGTCTGGGCTGAGTGATGGGGGTGGAGACACTCCTTCAGGTACGGGTATGAGAAGATTCAAAGCTTCTGCTTCCATTCTTCTTTAATTGCAGGTTAGTGTGTTTAAGCACAGTTTTAGGTTCAGACAACATGCTAATCATAACCGTTTTTATCGTCCTTTTTAAATGCAAATTTAATAAAAGGGGGGGAAAGAACAGCATCGGCTCACACTAGCAAAAAAATAATCAATCCTAACTTAAACAAAAATATCCTAACTTAAACAAAAACAAACAAAATCCTAAATTAACTTAAACAAAAAAATAATCAATCCTAACAAACTGCGGGAGGCAGTGGAAGACAGGAGTGCCTGGCGTGCTCTGGTCCATGGAGTCACGAAGAGTCAGACACGACTAAATGACTAAACAACAACAACTTAAATATATATATTATGATTCTTATCTTTAAACTAGAGTTGGTCCAGACAGCCCTTGTAATACAGGATGCTTTCACTGGACAGTGCTTCAAGGAGAAAACTGTCTTCTGTAAAGCAATGCCTCTCCTTTCAGTTGCTAATTATGAGGTCAAAGCTCAGTAGTAAAGCATGAGACTCTTAATCTTAGGGCTGTAGGTTCGAGCCCCACACTGGACTAAAGAGTCCTGCATTGCAGGGGGTTGGACTAGATCACACCTGTGGTCCCAACTCTACAATTCTATGATTAATATAAGCAGTCCATTTTTTGCTTCCCTGACCTCAAATAAGTGCACTTTTCCTACACAGTGCCATATTTTTCAAAGCAAATGTATTTATCTAGATAGAAAGACGAAAGTGAGGTCCAGAAAAAGAGAGCGTAGTTGACATAGTTATTTACCTGTAGTGGTGAGCAATGGAAGATTCCCCCCCCCCCGCCACCCCCAGCTTGCTTAAGGCCCTGAAAAAGTGACACTAGCAGTGTTTGCTATTGCAATGGAAGGGGAGGTTCAATGGCTTGCCTCTCAAGGTAGGCTAGTTGTGCCCAAAGGCCAAGTAGGCTGCCACCACACTCCCTCAGCACCCTCTACAATACCTTCAGAAGGAAGTGATTTCTGGGAATCCAAGGAGAGGAGATAGAGAACACACACAGAGACTACTCCCTCTCTGAGAACTGGATACAAAGAGATCAGGGTACTTCATTACAACTATATTCTCCAGGCATGAATCACACAGTCTTGTTTTCATTGTAGGAAGATGTGAATTAGGATGTTAATGTCCCAACCTTTGAAGCTACATTTTCCACAAACTGCTTCTGGAGGCCCTTTGTTGTTGGACTACAGCTCCCATCAGCCACAGCCAGCATGGCCAATTGTCAGCAATAATGGGAGTTTCAGTCCAACATCTGGAGGGCACCATATAAAATGATAGCTACATGAGATCAACCCACTTTCATGAGGAAATAATGTCGGAGGGCTAATTTTAAAGTTGAGGCTTGCTGTGACAGGCTAACTAGAATTGCTTTACCTCTGGAATCACTTTGCCTCTCCCACCTATTTTCTGGAAAGGAGAGCACATTTTAATTGTGAATTCCACCCCCCACCCCCACCCCAAGCTCCTTTCCAGCACCTTAAATCGGGAATTATGGTCCAAAGCTTGAGTTCTAGCACCTTTCATTTTAGGCAGTAATCCTATATATGCCCACTGATCTTAATAGGTCTTTCTTCTGATTAGACATGCATAGGGATGGACTATTCTCCTATTCTCTCCTCTCCCTTGACATTTTCTGCCCCTTTAAGAGTCTCTATTATTTCCTGTAGGGAATGCAGAATACTTGAATCTCTTTGAAAGCAATTTCATCAGGACTTTGGGATTATTTTTAAGACACTTAAAAATAACTCACTTATAATGAAGGAAACATTATGTCTGATCTCAACTAGAAGAGACATCTTTCTTTAAAAACATATTAAAATAAGGAGCTTGCAAAAGCCGCTAGAAAGAAACAAAGAAAATACAAGGAAGCAGATTTCCTGTTCAGTTGGAGTGCTGCCCTGTCACTCTTCCCAAATTAGTTTTGAAATTATATCATTCCTTATACCAGACTGCTGCCTGGAGACACCCAGTCGTTCAGAACATCTTTTGGAGGCACCAAGTCCTATCTAATCCAATTGTACTTAAAAATATAACTGGAGTGAGCTTGAGCTCCAGAAAGCAATCGTTTAAATTTTCGCAAATAAAAAGCAGCCGTTTGGGGGGCTTGTTTGCTTGCCTTTGTGGCCATTCTCTTACTGCTGCAAAACATCTATTATTGCTTATGTGAGTGACCCTGGGGGCTAAGAACCACACATCTTAACTATTTAGCTATGGTGCTTTAATGACGGGGTGGGGGGACACATTGTCTAGGTAACCATGTAGAATAGTCCTTGGTTTGGAGCTTTGCTTCCAAAAGTTGTTCAGTTCTGCATTTGTTATGTTTTGGTGAATACAACCATATGCATGGCTCCTTTTTCAGACCCATACCTGCTGGGCTATGGCCCTTTCCCCTCAGTATCCCTCAAATCCCCAGGGGAAGAGCTGAAACTCAAAATATGTTAGGATTCTTTCATAAATGTTGTGTACCATTTAGGGTTGTTGTTGTTTTTATCGTCTTGCTGAGCACTCCTCTTGGGCCGCTTAATGTAGTGTCCTGATCAAAGTCCTGGAAGCCATGTTCATCCCATACAGTAATAGGATAAAGTTATTTATCCTTCACCCTTTCCCCAAGGATCTCAAAAGCGGTCTACATGGGAGTTAGTTGTTATTCTAACAACAGTTCTGCAAGATAGAATGGGCTGAAAGAATGAAACTGACCCAAGGTTTCCCAGAGAACTTCATTTATGAGTAAACGCCAGTCATCTCAGTTCAAATCCAATACACCACCACACCAGCTGGGGCATCACAGGGAAAAAATGTGTTCAAGACATTGAGAAACAAAGGAATGGTCCATACTCTGCCATTCATTCCTAGTTTTTGGCAGTCTGATGCTTAGCAACAACATTTGAAGTCTGCATTATTTTCCAATAATTCCCCCCTGGTGCGGAACTGTCTCCTACTCAATGTTCATCCATTTCTTATTTTCCAAACCCAGTGAATGCTTTTGGTCATCAGAGAATACAGTGACATAGAGATGAAAGTCTTCAGTGAAATGTTTATGTGGTACCTCTTAAAAGGCATGAAACCACAACCATCAATAGAAGTATTTAGTAGAAAAAGCATTATGATAATACTTTTGTGACTGGCTGTCATTAACCTTCTGGGCACCTCCCAATGACTTGGTTTATTACCAAGTCAAAGCCATAAGCAGTGGAATCAATCACATTTAATCATGGCTATTCTAACTCATACAGGAAACAGCAATTTGATCAGAATCCACATTTGGGGACAGGAAAGAATTTCTCCCACTGGTTCCACTGGCCTTTGTTGTTTTTCCAGTTTCTCTTGGACTATTAAAAACAAGAGTCATCACACAGCAGAAAAGTGACTGTAACAATAGATTGCAAAAAAAGAGCAATGAATAGAACATAGCTTATTTCACATGGGCACCAATAAAACATCCAATCCCTTCAGTACCTTGGTTTCCCAATCTGAAAAATGGGCATGATACATCCTCCAACCCTGAAGATTTACAGGTAATTTACACAATTGCCAAATGCATGGCTCAAATCTTGTAACTTAGCACTGAACAATAATGCCGCAATATGGCTGGACTTGGCAAGAGATAATGCCATCATTACTTCAAGTTGCATACCAAGCACCTTTCAAATATGAAAAGCTCTCATTCAGATAAAGACATAAAGGTAAAGGTAAAGGGACCCTTGACCATTAGGTCCAGTCGTGGCCGACTCTGGGGTTGCAGCGCTCATCTCGCTTTATTGGCCGAGTGAGCGGGCATACAGCTTCCAGGTCATGTGGCCAGCATGACTAAGCCGCTTCTGGCAAATCAGAGCAACGCACGGAAACACCATTTACCTTCCTATTTATCTACTTGCACTTTGAGGTGCTTTTGAACTGCTAGGTTGGCAGGAGAAGGGACCGAGCAACAGGAGCTTACCCTGTTGCAGGGATTCGAACCACGACCTTCTGATCAGCAAGTCCTAGGCTCTGTGGTTTAACCCACAGCGCCACCTGTGTCCCGATAAAGACATAGCCCAGGTATAAAAGTACCCCAAAGATAAGTGATTTGCCTCCTACAGTGTGGATGACATTTGAGTACAGATAGCAGAGCAATTTCCCAGAGGTGGGGATGACAGATTATGGTAGTGATCACACTGGAGCAGCACGACACAACAAGAAAGGCAGCAGTGGGTGGAAGTGGGCAAGTACAGAGATACATTACTGGGTGTTTGGAAACAATGATGGGTGCGGCACAGGAACCTTTGAAATAGCTATAAAAAGAAAGATAAATCATTATGTATAGACTTATTATTGAATTAAGTTACAAACCAGTCTTCCTCAATCCTAGTCTGAATCCATCCCATACCAGCCTTCTCCCAACTTGGTGTCCACCAGATACAAATTGGACTACAAATCCTACCAGCCAGCATGGCCCATGGGCAGGAATGATGGGAGCTGAAGTCCAAAACAGCTACAGGGCACCATGCTGGAGAAGGATGCCATAGACATTCATGGGTGTGTATCAAATTGAATCAAGAACATAGGATCATCACCATACTCCATAGTATGCCTTGTTACCACATACTTAAAAGCCATTTCCAATGGGGGGATGAGGGGGCATGTGGGAGGAAGCAAGCAGAACAAACAAATGCACTTAGTGCCAAGCATGAAATTCCATACGCAGACAGGGAAAGTCTAGGCTGTGTTTTAATTGTGTACAAATTTCCTCACTGCCTCATTGCCCACTATGCCTCCCTCTTCCTTAAAACCTTTGGAAGTTGTGTGGCTGGCTTTTTCCTGCCCAGATTTTCCAGCTGTTTTATGTGCAACAAGATGTTCAAGTTCAGTCCCTAGTGACTTGCTAAAAATCTGAAACCCAAAGCTAATTACTAGTTCCTGCATCCAAGATTAATAATCAAAGGGCTGGCAGGGTAGCACACGTGGCAAGAAATGTCCCCTAAATGTTTTGCTTAAGTTTGTTTACCAGGCTTCCAAGAAACGGAAAAGGTGACAGAATGGCTGATTGAGAGCCTCCTGTTTATTACTTCACTAGTAAGCAACAAAGTATTCAAAACCACGCACACATTTTTCAGTTCAAGGTCTAAAGACGTTCCATTCTGAACCTCAGCCAGTAACATTATTGCTTCTATCTACCATAAAAGAAAATTAATGACAGTCTCCTTTTTACACATTATTCACCTCCCAGCCACCTACAAAAGATGGACCACTTCATGAATGGGGCCCTCAACCAAAAAAACCCCGTCTCCCACCCTTGAAGAAATGCTTTGAAATATCTCTATGCTGTGACTCCCCTGCAGTGCTGCTCTGCTTGTTTATAATAATCTCTTTGGTAAAAGTTAACTTGTCAGGGCTTGCTGACACAAGGATGCTGACCTAGATTAATATCTCCTTGCCCTTTCCAACAGACTGTTACTAGTTTGCATATGTTGGTCTTGTTTTTTAAAAAACAAAATTGCACCTATTTTTCAGTTAACTGCTCTCATAAATCCAGGTGTTCTCAAGGTTATG